CTCTATCCTCTGCATTTTCCTCTCATATGTCAGGATAATCATCGTATGGAGTCCATATGACCTATGACATAAATAAATAAATTTAATTATAAACATCGCAAATTATAACAAATAGTCGTATAAGGTCCATATAACATAACAAATTTATCTATACTAACATCACCTAAAATTAAATAAATTATAAATAGATAAAACAAATTATAACTATACTATACTAACATCATTTATTTGCGCATTATCAAGCTCATGTCGCCCCGTCAGAGTGAAGTTGTGAGTGTTATCTCATTCTCTAGGAGGAGCTCACCTAAAGGATCTAGGTTGCCCTGCCATTATTTCTTTTGGAATTGAGCATAACAATTTAAAATGCCTGTACGCCCAACACTGAAATACATGTATAAAAAAACAGAATCATAACATAAAATATCTATCTAATTTTATAAAAAGTATCAAAACACTAATATACTACAATCAACAAAAGAGTGGCTGATCCACTTAAGTGTCGATGATCAGCATGAAAAACCTTTGACAAGGCTCGAAACAAAGATGCTAACGCAGCTGCACCCCATGCATACTGACCAGCTACGTCGATATCCTCAAAAAATTATAAGTAGATTGTAAGAACTGTACCATCTGTGGAATCCACAAATATTGTACACTCGACTAGATATAAGAGGTAGGCACGGGTGTATCGTAAAAGAGTAGTGCTGTTATAGTTCTCTACCTAAACGTATTCCTCAACCATGTCAGTCGGATAAAGGAATGACTATGACCAGGTGGCAGTTGTCATATCATGCCGACTATATGTTCCTCATAGTTCTCCACTCTCCTTATGGTTACAACTACACCAATCACTTTTAACCAAAGAATTTTCCATGTATCTTCAAGTGTATGCATCATTTCTCCGATGTCTACATTGAAGTGCCATGTGTTCGTCTCAGTGTGCCACCTCTCGATGATTGTAGATAATGTACCACGGTCATGCTGATTCATCGATACTATAGTCAGAGAATACAATCCTGATCTCCTGACCAAGTCAATTTGGTCGTTGTTTGTTAACGGCCATGCAGCATTTGCATTAGGCTTCTCATCAATCTTGAGAGTATTTTTTCGATATTGAAATATAATTTATCATTTCAGATACTTAAAAAAATTAATATTGATTAACTAACATGATAGACAAAGAATATAATTTTAAATATTTCTACTTACAGTTCTTTTCCATATCTTCTATGATATATGTTCTCTTTGTCTAGTGAGCAATGAAGAAATCTCGGGACTTTCAGGGAAGGCTGCATCTCTTGCCATGATCACTGTTCAAAAAGCCATCATACATCAAAAACCTTTGTAAATCAAAAAGAAAAAAATATTCATTAATAAACATTTTCATAGTAAATGATACAATAATATGATATTTAAATGTCCTAACAAGTATTCCTTAGATCCTTGATGAATTTGGTACCTATATTTAAAACCACTATATCTGAAACTTACACTCCATTTCAAACATGCATAAGCTAATTCTACTTAAAAACATGTCTAGCTTGGTGTCATTGACATATGCTAGTTTAAGTTGCACAAAATGCAAGGAATGATTAGCCAATAAGGGAATGAACTCATTTTTCATCCAATGCATATGATACCATCATACAAGCTTGAACAATATTTAGTTTGAAAACAAATATCAGAAGATGTCACTACACAAGCTTGAACAATATTTAGTTTCAAATCAAATGTTACACTTTTCTTGATAATAAAGCCCAGGTTTGTATTGAGAGTTGATTCTCCAAATATAATTAGAAACCCTACTACATTGAGATATAGACATTGATGTTTTTCACTCCTTATAAATATAAGTCGGCAAAGATTTCTGAACATTTCGAGAAAGATTCATATGATTGATTTTTATTTTTATTTTATCTTGTTGTCATTGACATATGCTAGCTTAGGTTGCACAAAATGGTAGGATGAATTATCAAATAAGGTAATGAACTCATTTTTCATCCAAAATACAGGATATCATCACACCAGCTTGAACACTATTTACTTTCAAATCAAATATCAGAAGATGCCATCACACAAGCTTGAACAAGCTGAAACAATATTTACTTTTAAAATCTTTGTTTTTTGATCGAGCACAAGTTTTTTGTGTAGCAGCCTTTTGGGTGAAAATCAACCCATAATATTTCGGTTTTTGAATAAATTGAAACATGAATATGATAACTACTTCAATTATCTATCAAACACACCACACTTCTTCAATAAACGTTAGGGGGTGGAGAAATTATTGAAAGAAAGGAGGAAATTATCAAAAACCTAAATACTACACCATTTCAATCCAATAAATTAATCATAGATATTGGAAATCACAGATAATAGAACAAATCTTATATATTGGAGCAAATCACATATCTGTTGAATTAAAAAGAGAGAACAAAGATGTTGAAATTCTATGTGCTCTGAAATTAATATTGTACATTGTACAATTGGGGCTTATAAATCCAACAACAACTATTTCTTACCTGAAATAATGAGGAAGAGATCGATGAAGATGGAGAACATCGCAACAACCTTCTAACGGCAGAATGAAGACGGTAATCTTAGGTTCTTTTGGGTTAGGGTTTATACGGCTGAAAAATGAAGGTATTACGGTACTACGAGTACCGTAATACATTTTAAAATATAAGGTGTATTACGGTACCCGTAGTACCGTAAAAAGCTTTTGAAGAAGTACAATACTAGTAGGACTATAATATATTGCTAGAACAATATGGTACTCATAGTACCGTAAATTAAAATTACAATGTTTTTAATACCGTAATTCTTATAACGATACAAAGACTACCATAAAGGGTAGTTTTGTCCTAAATTTCATGACAATGGAGAAAAAGGGTGTGGTGAGGTTTTGAGAAGTTAGGGTTTTTTTTTTTCAATTTCCTAAAATTATGGGTATATTAGCGATAATTTTAGAAAGAGATTTAAATATTTATTACTTACTAAAAATAAAGAATTTCTATAATATTATTTACCTTAAAAAAACTTATAAAATTTAAGAATGTCTTAATATTGAGGTTTTAAAAATAAATCAATACAAATATTTTTCAAGCACTTTATAAATTTTAACAATTAGTTTTCATATAATCTTTTCACATGAGCATTGTAAGGTGTCACTTAAGGAACCTTTTACTGACCTTTACAAATTAGAAGGGTTTTATTGAAAAATGTTTAAGAAAATTGGTAGCATACTAATAATTATCTCAGTAGCTGATTGCAAATAATTAGGATAAAGCTTGGATGATGATGATGATGATTAATAATTATCCAGGTAAATTTTAGTTACCAATTTTTTATTCAGTGTTATAGATACATATATTCATTCTAATAATACATAATGTCATAATAAATTTATATACAAGGTGTGGTTTGAATGAGGTTTCAACATTAAACAATCGAAGTAAGGGCATATGTAGTGCTAGAAACCCTTATGCTTACCCTAAAATATGTTTTGCCCCCTAGTTATGAGATTTATAGCTCAAATATTAAGCTAGATAGATCTATAAATTTAAAATTTTTGAAGAATCAACAATTTATATAATATGTTATAAGTTATACAATTTTTAGACTTGTAAATTTCTTTTTTTTTTTTTTTTTTTTTTTTTATGGCCATCAACGTCGAGATGATAGGTCGTATGGCTTTTCAGCATCGAAGAGGTTGGGTTTTACAGCACAACGTCTCAAGTTCAACTTCTATGTAACTTTGTCGATAAAAGAAACAACATTTTTGTGGTTGATTTTTTAAGTGCACTCTATTTCTACAATATAAAGTTGACACCTTGTATAAAGCATTCTATATATAAATTAAAAAAGTCCTCAATTACTTGAGAAAAGGCTATGATGATGATGATATAGATTGGAAAAGCATTAAGGGCATTAGTAGAAAAGGGACAGGTTCTGACACAAATGCATCCATGATTCGCATACAATGGTGTAAATCGTGTCAGATTTTTACGGGTGATCTCCAATGTCTAATATAAATGCAAGTCAATTATGGTCATATTCGACTTTTGGAATGCATCAATGGTGTAAATTGTGTTAGATTTTTGCAGGTGATCTCCAATGTCTAACATAAATGCAAGTCAATTATGATCATGTTCGACTTTTGGAATGCATTCAGCCTAAAATGCTATACATTGTGTCAGATTTTTGTGGGTGATCTCTAATGTCCAATATAAGTGCAAGTCAAATATGAATGTGCTTGACTTTACGAATGCATCCGTGATTCGCCTACAATGGTGTAAATTGTGTCAGATTTTTGCGAGTGATCTCTAATGTCCAATATGAATACAAGTCAATTACGATCATGTTTGACTTTTGGACTGCATCCATGATTCACCTACAGTGGAGTAAATTGTGTCAGATTTTTGCGGGTGATCTCCAATGTCCAATATAGCCCTTACGATCGAACATGATCTCTAATGTCTAGCATAAATGGGACATGGACGTAGGAGGGACACATTCCAATAACCACACCTGACTTATTCGAAATGGACAAATCGCATTATCAATAAATATGAATTATTATTTTTATTACATAATTAAGGAAACTTTATTAAAATACATAGAATGAGATAAATTGTTTAATATTTTATCTATATCTTTTCATATAATTTCAAAATACCCATAAAAAAAAATACATGACATTGAGCGAAATAATTGAGAAAGAGTAAACTCTTACATCTTTAAACATTTAGGTGCATATAATTCTAATTTCCTAATTTCATATGTTAAATGTAAGAAAAATTCAAAGAGATTCCCAATAAAATAAAATGCATTCACGAAATATCATAAAGCACCCCATCATATCCGGAAAATAAGGGTGTTCTGGTCATTTTGATAAATCCGAGGGACCATTCATCATTTGGGCGCCCTTCCTAGAAGGAAGCTTCGAGTGTCTTATTAAAACCCTAAACCTAGCCAACTCTATAAATACCCCTTCCTCCTTGTTGGTGTCTTTCCCGTTTCTTGTGATCGAAGTTAGGGTTCGGGTGGCGATTTAGTCTTCAGTCTTGCGCGTATTTCTTTGTTCACATCTTTCGACCATGCCTCGCCGAAGCTCTGGAGGTATGAGTTCTTGTTCTTGTTTTTATGCTTGATTTCTAGTTTCTGCGGAGTTGTTTTCTTATATTGATAGTCAGGTTTCCGTTTGTTTTTGGGCCTTTTTTGATAGTCAGGTTTCTATTTCTTCTTACCCATTTTTTGGGCGGGATTGTTGCATTTAATGACTGATTCTTCTGTTTCTTAGGATTAGATGGCTTATATTGAGAGTCGGGTTATCATTTTTCATGTATTATCTATGGGTTTATGGGGTATCCTGTGTTGGAATCTGTTACATTTTACATTTGCTTTTGCTGATTTTGTAGAGTAGTTTAATTTTTTGAGATGTGGCTTATTACGTTGTGGTAATATATGGTTTTGTATGGTTTACTGGTTTGGTTTGTACTTGTAACTTAATTCACTGCATTTTCTTGATGTGCTTTGCTAAATTGGTTTTTTGATATTTGAAATCTCTGTGATTTTGCAGCACAAGTAGTTAGAATGAGTTGTTGGACTCACTCTGTGAGGGATCTATGGGGTTATTTCGAATCTGAGCAAAACTTCACCTGGTTTTATAAATTCCAGGGCTGTCACACATTTTTTTTCTTTCAAGGCCCAAGTTTAGATTTAGCCTCGGGATTGGTTGTCTCGGGATATAATAGAACCTTGATTTTATCAACCTTTTTTTGTCTTTAATGATTGCGTGATATTAAGCATGCGTTTTAGGTGCATGCTGCTCGAATGGCATCTTGATGGACCCCAAGTTTAATGTTTTTAGTGTTTGATCCAGTGATTGAAAACCAGGAACTGGTGGTAGGCTCAGCCACCTGGAGACGTGAGACCGCTTGTGGGGGTAAATCTGCTCAAAATGATCAGATAAAATGTCAAAAATTTGTAAAACTGATTAAAATTAATGAAATTGTTACAGAAATATATCTTTTGTAAGCTTTGAAAAACAGAGTTTTGCAAATTAATTGGATCAGCTTTGAAAAAAAGTATCTCTAATTAATTGGATCATTGATTCAAAGAGATTGAGAATTGTTAAAAAAGGATGACAATTTTTGTTTTGAATCAAATTTTTTTTTTTATTCACTCGAATCAAAATACAATATGGGTAAGAATGAATTAAATTATTTCAATTAATTTTTCTATCAATGATGACAATATTTCAAAGAACATGAGTTTGAATAGGGGTGGTAATGGGTCGGGTCTTGCTGTACCCAGAGCCATACCCGAATATTACTTGTGGACCCGTATCCGATAGGTCAAACAATATGATACTTCGTACCTGAGGCAGTACTAGGGACCCGGGACCTGGGGCCCGAACCTGTACCCGACAGGCTTCTCTTGTACATTTGTTTTTAAACTCCCCTACTCCTTTTATAGTTCTTAGATATTTGCGACTCTATTCACCTCATTGAGGTGGGATTAGTCTCACCTACCTCTTGATCTCTCTTTCTTTCTCTCTCTTAAGTTGAAGGTGCATATAGGTTATGCTTTAATAAAGACAACAAGCCTTTTTAAAGATGGCTAGGCCATGCTGGCGTGCACGTTCTTTCAAATTTTCTGAAGTTCTCTTTAAAAAGGCAACAATAATTTTCCTTAGTTTGCTTTAAAAAGACAACAAGCCTTTTTAAAGCTGAAATTTTGTGTTGTTCTTGATTGAGTGGGAAAGGGAGACCCATAGCCTTCCACGCCACACCTTGGGGTGAGATCATTCATTGGTCCTTTGTGTGTAGGACATAGTAAGGTCCATTAGCTTAGCCCATCTTCTCACTTCACCCATACATGCTTCCCATTCCATGTCACCATTGGAGGACTCCATGATATTCCAAAGTTAATTGAAACCTTTCATCTTATACCAGTGTTACATAGACACTCCATTCCTCCCTTGGTGTTGCGTGTTGTCACGTGTCGACATGCTTATATACATGATTGACACACTGCTTGTACGTGTCGGATAGAGTTACGGAATTGTAGTATGTTGTGACACCATATAAAAGTGTCGCATGTTTTACGTATTGCTCCCTCCCAAGAGAGCTGGCATTGAATCCCCCTGTGAACATTTTTTCTAAGTTGGTTTATGGGTTAAAAAATGTGTTTAAAATGTATATTTTTGGGAGACAGGAATGGAATGTAGGAGGTGTGGCCAGTAGGTGGTAAGGGTTACCACAATGTGGGTTGAATGGATGTGTAAAGTGTTTGCGTATCATTTATCATATAAGAAATGCTAGTTATGTGGCATAGGTATTTGATATATTGTACATATCTAGTTTGAAAAAAAGCCGTAATAGAAGAAAACAATTTTGCAAGGAAATGTCAAATTTTTTATACAAAATTATTATAATTGTTTTTGTGTATTCAGAAATATAAATTAATCTTGGTGAGATCTGAACTTAAATCATTCTAAGAATATGTTAATAATTATACCAGCACAATCATAAAAAATGGCAATATTGAGCAAAAACATTATTAGTATTACTAATAAGGTCTTAAAACCATCATTTGGAAAGTAAATTGGACCCGAGGGATAGATCTGATCTGGGTCCGGGTATGGGTCCAAACATTGCACCCGACATGTTGGGTCCGAGTCCAAATCTTGGACCCAAACACTATTCGGGTCCGATTCTGGTAATATTCTTCGGGTCCCAGTATATTAAATATATTTTCATATAGTTAAATACATTGATATTTGAATTTTTGGGTCGGGTCTGATTGGGTTCGGGTTCCACCCGACCCATTGCCATTCCTATCCTTGTTAAGGGGTTCTTCCTTATGATATATTTAACAACTAACTTTTCATGTTCACTTCAATTTGCTTGGTCCCATGGTAGCGCTTGCCAACCTTTCTGCAAGTGCAACACATCCAAGGTTCCAGATACAGGTAAAACACAAAATTTAAAACTTCCTAAAACAAGAAGATGCACAAATTTCTACATGTGCTAGAGAAAAGAGGGTTACACCCATAGGGGTCAATGTGGAGACCTTTCGAATTAAGAAAAGCATGTCTAACACATGGACATTGAGCTTTGTCTGTTTAAAAAAAGTGACGACACTTTTTAAAGTATCGACGCATACTAAATATCATTAGAAAGACCCCACATGTATGGTCACTGTGTTGAGGCATGCCTTTGCGTGTTGTGTTGAGGCCGTGCCTGTGCGTGGTGGCACATGTCTGCATCACCCATCCACATTTGGAGTGTTAAGGTTACGCTGATGATGACTATGACATGGGTGGCCTTGGACTCGCCATTTCCATATATGACTAGGTTATATGACCTGAAATATATAATGAGACTGGCATCTATATGAGGTTTAGTTGTAGAGATTATAACAAAGTAAATGGATCTCTACAACCAAACCTGACTCGTTTATGGTTCATGTTGTAGGTGAAATAGACCATTATGTTGAATGCTCAGCTTCTGTTAATTGTTGCTTTGTCTTTGAAGCCTGAGTTTGTCAATTTATAGCATGGCAGAGAATATCTATTGTAGGAGCTAATATGTTTTCTACAAAGGTGTCAATTATTGATTGCCTGTATAGTTTGATTCGATTAGATATGTTCTCTTCTCTTCTAAGGCCATAAGCACCTTCTTCAGCAAGTCTTTACTCTCATGTATCCTGTGAGTTGAGAAGTACCTTTTTTTGGACAATCTGTAGAATTGAGGAAGCTAATATACACTGATTAAACCTATTGTTCTTTTTGTGTTTTATGTACTTCCTTTAAATTGTTATTGATTGCTGGCTATTCTAAGTTCATTTCAATTGTATAGGAAGGCCAGCCCCTCGTGCTGCTCCTCGTCCTGCTCCAGTGCGTAACCCTCCTCAACCAGGTAATTCATGGATGGGTATTTGGTCCTCTCTCTCATTCTCTCATTAGCTTATGTTGACCAAGTGCTTATTATCTTGTTGCCATGTAAATTGTAACAGCAAGCCAGGCTCCTCCACCTGCCCCTGTTCAGAGCAGTGGCGGCATGCTTGGTGGAATTGGTTCCACTATAGCTCAAGGTGATTCTTTGCCTTCATCAACCTGTCTATTCATAATTAGATAGGAAGAATAATAGAGGGATATTTAGGCTTCCATAAATTTATACTCAATATAATTTATAATTTGTACTGAGCTGGGGTTTTGGTCTGTACATGGCATTGGCAGGCATGGCTTTTGGGGTTGGAAGCGATATGGGGCACAGGGCTGTCGAGTCTATTATGGGGCCTCGCACCGTTCATATGGACACGGCTCCTGCTGCTCAGCCTGTTGCTTCTGCTGGTGCTTCAGATGCCTGTGACATTCACAACAAAGCTTTTCAAGATGTAAGTAGTCCCCTTTGAGAGAGAGAGAGAGAGAGAGGGAGAGAGATCTGTCCGTCTTTTTGGCTTTTTGGTGTTATAACGTGTATGTGGTTTGTGGGTGATGTACAGTGTCTGAACAACTATGGGAGTGACATTAGTAAGTGCCAGTTTTACCTCGACATGCTCAGCCAGTGCCGCAGGAACTCCAGCTCCATCAGTGCCTAGTCGACTGCTGCAACAAAAATATTTGGTTATTTTATTGGCAGTGGATTCTGTCTTCTGAACTGCACTCGAAATACTATTGGAAACTTGCATTTTTATGTCTTATGGACCCCGCTTTCAGTGGTGCCTAAAACTTGAATACTGGGAATCCTTGGATTTGAATAAAATTAAGGATTTTTACAGGCCTTTTACTGTGACGTCCTTGGTATGTTTTGGAATGATGAGCTTATTATCTCTTCGATTGTGTGTGGTGGAGATGATCTGTTGTCAAGTCTTTGACTTTAGAGGTAGAAAATTGCTCCAGGCTCGGGAACCCCAAAGAAGTTGGGAGAGTTTCAATTACTTACCCACCTAAAAGACCAAATCATAAAAAACTTGGGTTGTGTGGTGGAGATGATCCGGTGAAGTCAGGTATTTGAGTTTAGAGGTAGAATACAATACTCAAATTGTTCCAGGCTTGGGAACCCTAAAGAAGTTAAAGAGTTTCAATAACTTGCCCACCTAAAAAGACCAAATCATAAAAAAGTACTTTGTTCAAAGTTCCTCTTTTAACCAGGGCAATCTAGACATCTTCAATAATAAAATTTGTAAAGATGGTTGTTGGGATAAGGCTCCGATGAAGATGGTAAATGTTAAAAGTAAAATTAAAATTAACAACAAACATCCTAATGTTAATTTTCATATTTTAAACCCCTATTTATTTGGTTATTGTGAAAATGGGAGAAATGACTCGTTTTCTTAATTATCACATTTTTTTCCTGTTTGAGAATATGGAAAATTGTGGAAATGCGGAGCCCCACATTTCTCTATGCAATTAAAGTGAGGCCGCACTGCCAAAATCCACTTTGGAAAGGGAAATTGGTTTTTGCGAATCCGACTTTTTTTAGTCTACTGCTGACATCATGAATATGAAAAAAATTCGGCTTTTTGGCTGTGAAATTCAAAATTACAAAAATTAGATGGCACAAATAAGTTGTTACACGATTCTTTGTTTTTAGGATTTGGAATTCTATTTTCTTTTTTTTATATATACATCAGGTCGAGATAATTATGTCAGAACACTCATACAAAGGATCATCTTGCTTCAGTAGTGTAAGGTTGACACTTTATAAACTTCCACTATCATTTAACTTATTCAGTACATAATAGAATTGCACTGATGTTTTAACTTCAAATTCATGCGTTTGATAAGGAGATGAATTTATAATCGTTTGGGATATTTGAGGTCGTGAATCTTTAAAAAAGAAACATATTTCGGCTCTCTAGCCTTTAATAACCAAACGAATGGGGTTGTAGTGGTAATACGACTTGAACCTCAGTTAAAGATCATGGTCAATTCAGTAAAATAGTATTGTTGTTGGGGTTTTAAACGTAGTATAGTGGTACTTTAATTTTACCCACAATTTTTTGGGAGTTATAACAATCTTATAAGGTAACCACTCTTTTGGTTTGATTTCATCAACACTATTTATTTGAATAATAAACGTATGAGCCCTTCCCATATCCATGTGAGTAGGACTCTAAATGATCATCATCAAATTTAGCACAGATCTCTAGAAAAATCAAGTCCCACACCCATATGATAATTTTTCTAGAGATCTGTGTTAAATTTATTGGTGGTCTTTTGAGATTACTCACATGGATGTGAGAGGGTCTCATAGTATCATTTCTGTTATTTGAGATGGTTTAAACTTACATCCACATTTTCCCTTGGTTGTAATTACTTTTTTGGATGGCCCATACTTTGATTATTTTGTTATAAAGCATCATGTTTTTTCTTATGGGATTGTATATTTTGAGACCGTTCATCTATGGTACATGGGTGTCACAATTGTTACTAGCCATTAGATGTCAAATTAGATGGTTTAAGATGTGTCATAAAGTTCAAGGAATTTTTTTTTAATTTTGAGTCTTGTTAATCACACACTCACAACTACCCAATTTGAAATCTGATGGATAAGAGTGATTGTAACCTCATTGTATTAAAAGTAGGGACATGTTTCTATGCTTCTCCTACAACATAGAAGTTCTATCCTCCCACTACCATCTAGCCGTCCAATTTTGATCAAGAGAGCCACTCACCGTTTGATCTTAGATCCGATGTCTCAAATTATTTTATTTTTAATTTTTTTTATACAAATTATATGAATATGAAATTTGGTACATGTCATCTTCTCATTGGGGCTCACCTAAAAAAAATATATATATTAAAAATAATTTTTCAAAAAAATATAATGACCAAAATACCTCTTGAATTTTTCAAGAGTATTTTGATCATTTTATTTTATTGGAAATATTTTATTTTATATTTTTTTCTAGTACAAGTTTAATAGAGAAATAAACGTCCAAAATTTGGTGTCAAAGTAGTGTAGAGATATGACATTGTGATTGGGGCAATCTTAGCCCTCCAATCAAAATAGACGGTTCGATAAGGGGGACGATAGAACTTCTATGCTGTAGGGGAAGCATATAAAGCTTGCCCCTTATTTAAAAGTAAACGGATTCTTTGTATACTTTTCTTTTACTTATTGCTTGAACAAAAAAGCTATTTCAAACTTTTTTGACTATGTTTTTTGTTTTCGAGGTAGTTTAATGGTATGAATGGAACTTAAGATGTAGTGTTGCTAGCATCAACTACTAGTCACTCAAGCCCAAACTTTATTCTTGATACCAAGTGCGATTGCTATTTATGAGAAAGTATGGTTTCCATATTTCAAAAAAGTTCTGGTTATCTATAATTGGAGGACATCTCTAGCCTGCCTGCTCCTTAACAGTCTCTTCAAAGCAAAATCCAAGAAATATAACTATTTCTAAACAATGGAAAACCTTAGCTGTTTAGGCTTAGGCGAAGTTTATTGTACTAGAAAGAAAAAAAAAAAAGAACCACTTTGATGATGCCCATGGCTTAAATGTTTTACAACTACCTGTATTTTGCAGCAACAGGAAGAGTACATTATTAGATGGCCAAAGATCAAGGAAGCACTTGGTATGGAATAAAAGGTGGATAGGAGGTGGCTACAGGGAGAGTGGTGAAGGATTTAAGAAATAGTTTGCAAAGAGATTGTTTATTTTTAATATAAGTAGGTCACAATTATTTTTGTCCATCAGATTTTAAATTGGGTGGTTGTGAGTGCGTCATTAACTAGACTCAAGAGTTCAAACAAAAAAAAAGATAAAAGAAAATCTTGAACTCTATAACCCACCCCGAACAATTGAATTTAACATTTAATGGCTAATAGTAATTATGAAATTCTTGTAAAAAAGATAAAAGGTCTTGTAGTGTACAATTCTAGGATTTAGGCATCAGATTTTCTAAATGAGGCAATTTTTTTCCAACCTAATTATATGGGAGTGGGAAAAGCGTTGTATTCGGTCCATTTCTAAATTCACAAGTTATTCACTTTAGTCCCATTATCCTGAAAATAGAAAAAAGAATTACTTCCTTATAGGAATTCCTTTGATAGAGTAGAATGGTAGACAAAAATTCATGTAATCAACCCAAAAAAATTGAAAAAAACTATGATGGTGATGATTATTTTCTTATTGGAATTGTTCAGCATTCCAAAGGAGACCCAGTTGCAACCTTAACATTCACTGTTATATATGTCATAGGATCGCATAACTTTTGTCGGTGAGGATCGATGATGGGCGTTATTTGGTAGTCCTTATGCATGGTTGTTAAAAAATGATTGGGTCTTGATGAATTAGAAAGAAAAAAAGAAAAAGGCCATTTATTACAATCTGAATTTATTTAGCACCTCACTTATTTTCTTTTATCTAATTTCAGACGGTCCATCTTTATTCCGATCAAATTTAAAAGAGCACATTAAGGTGTTTAAGATTGAACAAGAACCGTCGAATTTTTGGAGGGCAATATTAAGGTGTTTAAGAATTCAAAATCCAAAAAGTTTTCTATGAAAAATAATCGTCTGATGATACTTAGCTAGATACCAAAATTTTGGATTGAAATGTTTTTGCTAAGTAGGTCTTCTGCCCATGGGAGCATGTGTATAGTACATGCTCCCGCAAGAGCATAGTATGTGCAACCTATTTTTGTTTCTCATCTTGAAGTATTTCTTGTGTGAATAGGAAACGGGCATTAAGAAAGAGACAAATGAGACAAACAAATTCAAAATGTGTTTGTAGTTTGAAAACGAGTAATCTATTTGAGTTTTCCATACTCTTGATTCAAAAAAGGGTGAGGTTTGTATAAGGCTAAGGCCCTAAACAATCTAAGTAGGGCATACCTTCAAATAGCATTGAAAGACGTCGTTTTACTAACAAAAATATTTATGATGGTCTAAAAATTTATTTTCATCTCTAATTATAAATTTAAAGCTTAAAAATATTTATGATGGTCTAAAAATTTATTTCCATCTCTAATTATAAATTTAAAGCTTAAAAAATTGTATAGATCAAGTATATCTATAAACACTTGATAATTTTAAAAATTAACGGTCTAGATAATGCAGTACAAGATACACTATTCCAAGACTTGGAGTCCTTTTATTTTTAGGTCCATGTATCTCAAGGTCGAGATGATCGGATTTGAGGGTTTTTAGCAGTGAAAAATTTGTCTAGTGATTTTTTGAGCTATGCCTTAATTTGATTGTTTAGAGCCTCAATCTTATATAAAATTTTTATTTCAATAAGTGCATGGAGAGAGAGAGAGAGAGAGAGAGCCATTGTTCTTTGTAGTTGGACCACAAATAATATATTGAGTTTTACATGGTCTTACCTCAAAAAACAAGCATGCCTGTGTTGAATTAGCCAAAGGGAGATGAGAAGATACCTAAAGTCTCATTCAGTCCTAGTCTACCATGGCTCTTGCAAATTAATTCTTTACACAAATTCCCATGCCTTGTAAATATGTCACACCTCACATAACTCTAAACCATACTCTTTTATCATCCTAAACTTTCTCTTATCATTTATATTTTTTTTGAGAGCAAATATGAAGTTTTTTTTCCCTTGGTCTCTCCTTCTTTGCCTTGGTGGCTTCTCTTTTCTTGGTATCTGATTCTAGTCCCCTCCAAGAGTTTTTGTGTTGCAGATAATGCAAGCAAAGGTAACTCTAATACGAGTGTTTTCACTTTATTGTTTTATTTTATTTTAATTCTTCATTGATAAGATAAAACCATCTAATTACTATGCCCTATTCCTCTTTCATTTTTTTCTTTTTTTTCGAACTTTTTTT